TTAAATTTTATCGAAATCGGTTCAGATTTGGATATAGCTCCCATATATATTTTCATCCGATTTCGGGTTAATTGACCACCAAATGGCCAATATCAGCCCAAATGGCCCGAATTTTGGCACATGTGACCGAGGTTAGCCTTAAAGCAAATACAACAAATTTGGAGAAAATCGGTTCAGAAACAGCTATAGCTCCCATATATATCTTTCATCCGATTTGGTGTTTAAGCCTCTCACATTCGTAATATGCACTCCACAAGAATGATATTTGGTACCAGATATAAGATACAGCCCAGAAATAGCTGTTTGTAATTTTATCGAAATCGGTTCAGATTTGGATATAGCTCCTATATATATCTTCATCCGATTTCGGGTTAATTGTGCACCAAATGGTCAATATAAGTCCAAATGGACTGAATTTTAGTACATCGGACCAAATTCAGCCTAGAAGCAAGTATATAAATAATAATTAATAATTTAGTGAAAATCGGTTCAGATATAGGTATAGCAACCATATATATGTTTCATCCGATTTAATGTTTTAGTCCCATACATTCGTAATATTCACTCTACAACCGTGATATTTGGTACCAGGTATTAAATGGAGCACAGGAATAGCTGTTTTAAATTTTATCGAAATCGGTTCAGATTTGGATATAGCTCTCATATATATCTTCATCCGATTTCGGGTTAAATGTGCACTAAATGGTCAATATCAGCCCAAATCACCAGTCTAGAAGCTAATACGTAAAATTTGGAGAAACCCGGTTCAGAGATAGCTATAGTTCGTAAAATGCACGATAGAATTAGATAGATTTTGATTTTGTACCAAATATCTCATAGAGCTCTGAAATGCCATGTATAAACCTTTTTACGAGAGCTCTACTAAATATGCATAGTGGTGTAGGGTATCATATAGTCGGCCCCGCCCGACTTTTGAGCTTTCCTTACTGGTTTATTTTTGGAACAATTCTGAAATATGAGACTTTTTTTAAACCCTGTAAATGTTGAATTTTGTTAAGTATTTAATTTACTCCTCAAATGAGAAAAAATAGCGATTGCAAAGTAAACCAGTGGAAAGGACAAAAGTCGGGCGGAGACGCTACTACGTTCTATCCGTCACAAATATACATTCATATTATACATGTAGGTGTAGCGAATCTTCTTCCAACCAAATATAGCCTATAACGACTATAGAGCAGTTGAACTTTGAAATTGATATATTTGAGCGATAGCTTAATCTGAATCGTTTTTAACTAAATTTAATGACGGCGTTTTATTTGCCGCATGTGACATCTTTTAGAAGGTTTAAATATAACAAGTAAAAAAGAAGCTAAGTTCGACCGGGCCAAACTTTTAATACTCTCCACCATTTGGAAAGAACTTGAAATTAAAGAAAAAAATGTTGTATGGGGGCTACAAGAAGCCGTGGATATGCATAAGTAATTTTTTGTCATAGGCTGTAGTCCCGATTCCGAACTCCAAATAAGAAATTTGAAACAATACCGGTGAATAATGTCTATAATATCATGAAAATATCGTATAAAGGGAGGTACCGTTATAAGTGGGCTATACGAAAACGTGGACCTATATAGGTTGTAGGACCCATTACGGACTTCAAACATGAAATTTTAAACAATTTCGGTGAATAATGTTGCTAAAATTATCAAAATACCGAATATTTTGAGGTACTGTATAGGAGCTATACGAAAACGTGGACCGACATGGGCCATTTACGAACTTAAACCGCCTACTGACAAAATATACATGTGTGCAAAATATTGGCCATCTATCTCGATTCGTTCGAAAGATAGCGATGATTACAACAGACGGACATCGCTAAATAGACTTAGAATTTAACGCTGATTCAGAATATATTTACTTTGTTGGGTCTATTATGAGTATTTCAAGGAGTTACAAACGGATTGACAAAGTGAAATGAATGGGGGAGAATATAAAAGAATGGGGTGGGAGCTACAGCCATATGTACCTTGGCAGATTTTATTCTAGCCGGAACTTGAGACACAGAAATGGGAGCTAGAGTCCTTCATCTCCAAAATTTATCCCAATTTCACAAATCATATTAAATGGATTGTGGTAAAATGAAAAAACTGCAACCAACTTCAGACTGATGTCATTTTCAAACCATTCGTTCGACAGCTGTAAAAATTATTCCAGTGACAGCTCATTATATTGTTTACAAGCGTGCAAAAGCATTTTTGTGAGAATTTTCCAGAAAAAAAAGTTATTCGTGATGGAATTCAAGCGTGATAGTGTAATTTCTTTATATTTGGCTAGAAAACCACAAATGGCTATCGTAAGAGCAGTCCAGCATTTAAAAGTGAATAAATCTTTTGTGTCTCGTACCGTGATACTGGTAGCGTAGCCCGACAGCAATATCAGCAGATATGGTTCGAAACGTAAAGAAGCGACTTGATCGAAAACCGCGTCGCGTGCTCGTGAGCTGAACGTATATTTCGTTTGGCAAACATTGAAAAATGAGTTCGGGATAAAGCAACTGAAATTTCAAAAAGTGCAAGAACTTACACAGCAACAAAAAAAAAACTAGAGTCAAAAGAGCTAAAGAGTTGCTTCGCTTGGCGGAAAGTGGTGAACTGCCGAATTTGTTTTTCTCCGATGAGAAAATATTCGTCGTTCAGCAGCTGAAAATGTGAATCTTCGGTTGGCCAGCAGAACTCACGCGCCGGTCATGGTGATGGTGTGGGCCACCATAACAGCCGATGGTCGATCTCCGCTCGTATTAATCGACCATGGCATCAGAATAAATGCCGAATATTATCGCGAAAATATTCTGGAGGGTATATTAAAGCTTTGGGCACGTAAACATTTTGGCCGCAGACCTTGGACATTTCAACAGGACTCAGCACCATCACATTCAGCACGCGCCACCCAAGAATGGTTACAAAATGAGGTTCCTCGCTTCATTTCCAGCGCACAATGACCAACAAACTCTCCGGATACCAATCCGCTGGACTATTGTGTCTGGAGTATTTTGGAAAGCAAGGTTGGCACTAAAACATACCAAAGTGTCGATCACCTCAAGCAAGCACTTCGCCTAGAATGGACCAAAATACCAAAGAGCTACATTCGGGCAGAATGTGACGGTTTCATTGGCCGTTTGCCGTTTAAAGGCATAATTCGCGCCAAAGGTGACCAATTCGAACATATCTAAACTTATTCTAAAATTTGATGCTATTTCCAACATTTTTTGCTTTCATTCAATATTTTCATTTGACTTTGTTGCAGTTTTTTTATCTCACCCTGTATATCATATCTACAAGACTTTTTGTATTGAAAATTGTCCACGTTTTGGTATAGCCCCCCAGATTTATGGGTATTTGAAGTTCGTAAGTGATACTACAGCCTATGACAGAAAATTGTCTCTGCAGGTTCACGTCTTCGTATAGCCCCCATATAATTTTATTCCCCGATATTCGGTATTTTGATGATTTTAACGGCATTATTCACCGGAATTGTTTCAAGTTTGGTATTTGAAGTTCGTAATGGATACTACAGGCTAAGACTGAAAATTGTCTGTGCAGGTTCAAGTTTTGGTATAGCCCCCATGTAACGGTACCTCCCGATATTCGGGTTTTTATGATTTTAGAAACATTATACACCGGAATTGCTTCAAATTTTGTATTTGTGGTTAGTAATGGATACTACAGCCTATGACAGAAAATTGTCTGTGCATGTCCACGTTTTGGTATAGCCGCATATAATAGTACCTCCTTATATTCGTTATTTTGATAATGCAATTCCACGTCGTCGTATAGACCCTAATATAACGGCTACATTCGGTATTTTTAAGATTTTAACAGAATTTTAAGCGGATTTTATTTTTTTGAAAATTGCAAAATTCGTGCCAAGGGGTGGAGGGTATGCAAAATTCGCCTCGGCCGAACTTATTGCTTTTTTACTTGTTATTCCTTGAGGACTGACTATCAGATCAATTGCACTGTGCAACAAAATTATGTTTTTTCAATAATTACAGGAAAAACCCATGAAAGAAGAGGATTATAAAATAAGAGGTACAAATAAAAGATACATCTTTAAATTTCACAGTAACCTAAATTGAGAGAGCAAATACCTCCTGCACCGGTATGTCGGTATGCTTGTCTTCTATTTTTAGCGTAACTTTCCTGTAATTATGGATAAAATTGAATTTTGTCCCACAGTGCTAGTAAGGGTAATAAGAGCATGTTTTTCTGGGGTTTTGTTATTTTTAAAGATTTGCTTTTTTATAAATTTTTCAAAAAATATCAAAGTAGTAATTGTAAATTAAAAAAAAATGTTTTAGAAGAGCTTTACAAAAATCATAAACATTGACCTTGATTGATTCTTTTTCTTCATTCATAATTAAGAAACAATCCTCTCAAATTGTTTCTTAAAACAGTAAATAATTACTCGTAAAACCCATCCCGAATAAGTGCATAGAGAATAATTGTTATTACCTTAAAATATAAATCAGAAATTTTAGAAAAAAATACTAAATTTGAATACTAATTCATATTACTCCAAACTCAGAAAAGAAAGAAGAGTTACAACTTTATAGACTAAATTAAAAATGTTTCATTCAATACAGGATTTGCGACATATTTCTACAATAAATATTGTACACCAGGACTTTCTTAATCTTAAATTACAAAACTAAGTGAACAACTTCTTCAAACCCAAATGTATAACTTAGACTAGAGCCAACTTTAAAAGAAGACGATGTCATGTGTGTCAAATACACAAAATGTTTATTAAAAAATTAAAATTATAAAAAATGCTAAAAAGAAAAACATTAATTGAAACACGCCTTAAAGTATACCCCATTTATTTGTTTACCAACTAAGCTCCTAAAAGTAGGCCATGTACTTCAATTAAACATTAACTATCACGGTTTTTTCCAGTTACTTACACTTTATATCACATTAATCTGTAAAATAAATACACACCAACACTCTTATAGATATGTATTAATGTCAGGTACTTACCTCTCTCATCCATGGCGGTGTTTATGGTGGTTTCACCTTCATAGGTGCGGTGGGTTAGTATGTCACTACCGGTGGTAAAATCATCATTAAAAATTGGCAATTTGTGCAATTTGGTGCTTGAGCTACAGCGTGAGTTTTTTTTTGGGTGAAACATAGATAGTAATGGTGCGTTGATAATAAAATAAAAAAAATAAAAAAAAAGAAAACATAAAAGCAAATGTTGCAGTGCCGACATGGATGGTTAGCGACGACGACGTCATACCGCAGATACATATGTGCATGGTGAAAAAGTCAGAAAAAAATCAAAGAAAAAAGACACAATTGAGATAGGCTTCTTAGGCAAAGAGATTAATAAAATGTGCTTATATATGCTTGTTGTTGTTGTTGCTAACGTTGTCATTCTCATAATAATAAACTAATCTCCAGACATAAGCAGCAATAAATGCTAATGTCATACAGATTACATAGATATATCACCTTTAAAATTGCCTGAATACAGATTAGACAATTCTTATTTGTATATATGGCTTCCAAGAATGCCAACCTTTCCCACCCTGCATGATACTATAATCTTTTGCCAGGACATAAATTCTTAGAAGCTCTTAAATGTTGTATTTGCCATGCGGAGAAGGAAATGTTGATGTGGCATTTACGTTTCTTTGATCGGATTTTCTGGAATATTTGTAAATAGCATTTCCTAGTTGGTGTCTTTCTCTCTTTATCCATATATCCGGTGTTAAATATGCCTTTTGGTCCTTTTGTCACAAACGCACACACACACAAGGACAAATATACTGACAACTGACTTATTAAATATTAATAACAACAATTTAAGATAGATGAAAATCATACCTTTTGTTTATTTGTTTGTTTGTAACATATATTTAAAAGAAATATATTACAATTTTATAGCCTGCATTCATATTTGATTTGATGTGAAAGCCAGCAAAACAGGAAATATATTTTGAAGTTTATAAGAAATTGTTTGGGTATTAAATTCTTGGAAATGGTCATGGATATTACTACATAAGAGATGAAGTAAATTTAAGGAATCTTAAAAGATTCATCGGAAATATTATTGTGAAACATTTAGGACAATTTGTTTAAACAAAAGTATAAGGGAATTTTTAAACCTTCAGCCATATGGCTACAGAGGGTATATACAATTTGATACGGCCAAAACGTGCCTAGTCGAAATAACGGTTTTAGACCCTAGGTCTCTTGGGACCAAATCCGCTTCACAACATTTGGAGACGATCTAGCAATGTCCGTCCGATTGTCTTCAAATTTCACACATCCCAATATTTATGTTAACCCAAGGCCTGGTGTTAAGATGGACAAATTCGATCCACTCCTTCTGGTACCTCCCCCACAAAAGGTCGAAATTAAAAAAAAAAATATATTTTTTGCGCACAAGGAGAAAGGGTAATCCGATTTTTGTCCAACTTTGCAAATCCTAATATTTGCGTCAGTGCTAGGTCAGGTGTGAAAATGGACAAAGCGGTACACTCCATCAAGTACCTCCCCCCCAAATGGTCAAAATTTTAAATAATTACAACTCTCATAAAATGTGATGTAAGAGTCCGATTCAAGTTTCACACATCCCAATATTTATATTAACCCAAGGCCTGGTGTTAAGATGGGCAAAATCGGTCCACTCCTTTTGGTACCTCCTCCACAAATGGCCGAAATTTGCAAAAAAAAAAATGTTTTCTGCATAAAAAGTGGGCCAATAATCTAATCTTGAAATTTGTAATATTTGCGTCAGTTCTAGGTCTCGTGCCAAAATGGATAAGATTGGTCCACTCCATCAAGTGCGTCTCTCACGCAGACTCAAAATTTTGAATAATTTTAATTCTTAAAAAATATGAAGTAAGAGAGCGATTGTCTTCAAATTTCACACATCCTACTACCAAAATCTGGTAGTAAGACGGAATATATCGGTCCATTCCTTCTGGTACCTCCCCCACAAACGCTCAAAATTTTGAATATCCATGAAGTTCACAAAAAGCAAAATGAACATCCGATTCCATTCTAGACATGGTACATCTCAATATTTCCATCAACACAAGATCTGTTATAAAGATGGTACAGATCGGACCATTTCTTTTGCTACCTGTTCCACATAGGGTTCAAAATTTTGAAAAACGCTACGCTTAAAGAAAGCGAAATAAGCATCCAACAATCTTAAAATTTCACACACACACAAACATTTTTGCTAACAGAAGATCTGTTGTGAATATGCTATATATCAGCGAACCCCTTCTGGTACCTCACCCACAAAGAGAAAAAAATTTCAATACTTTTATTTGCAATAAATTGCGAAATAACTCAGCGATTCTTTAGAACTTGCTATATCTAAATATATGTCTCTGTCATCCAGAATCCAGAAATGAATATGGAATTTATGATTTTCCGTAAATTTTTTGTCTTTACAAATGATCCCGCTTCATTAAACGCATTGGAAGTCAAACATTGGAGCATTCATTCGTTAGATATCGGCCGAAACATGGAAACGAGCGTGAGTTTTTTTTTTCCATCGCATTCGCGGTCAACATTGGCTTGAAATAATCTTCAAACATTAAATTAAGTGGGCCCAATTATCGATTCAAATAAAGATTTTAAGTATTTTCCTAAATTATGTTTTTTTTTTAAAAAAAACTTTCCTATGACTCTTAAAACATCTCCGCTTATATTCTGACATTCAAGTTAAAATTAGTAGAAAAAATTGCAGTGTTGGCTTGGCACGACCATTTTGCAACAACAAGAAAAAATTACAATTTATATTTAGGTATTATTTTCCAAGATTTGCATTCATTCATTTACTTCGTTTTTCTTATCACAATTAATTAAATTATTTGGTGGAAAAATTTTTCTAATTTATTCTTAGGAAAAAAAAATCTGGAAAATCACATAACATAATTTTTCTTTGTTTTCTTTCTTCCAAAAACAGTTATTTCTTGAAATTACATATATTTTTATAGCCACTATCCTAGCAAAATTTTTCGGTTCCCTAAAATACTAAATTCTATTAAGAATCAGATTAGTTTATAATTCCTCAATGGCAAGAGTTAAGCATTTGCTCGCATATGCACTGCGTATTTGTATTGCACAAAAAAATTCCAGAGAACTGGACATTTTCTTTTAATACAAAGAGCTATAATATTAATATGGTTATAGGGAACTTCAACAGAAAAGATTTTACATTTTTAATTTTTTGTATATATTATTACACATATTTTTCTCTATTTCCTTTTCTTAAATATTATTAAATTTACTTAGTCATTTTATAAGAATATTCAGTCATTGCCATTCCTTATTGCCTCCTGCGCAATAGAAGGCTGTGCATCAGCACACACACACAACTACGTTGCCATGGCAATTGCCATCTACGTTTATTGTGGTTTAACACACAATCAAAACAAAATAAAACAAAAGAGCAACAACACGGAGTGAACACACGAAAACTCACATGAAAAATGCTCAAAGGAATAAATTATTTTTAAAAGCCTTTTAAATAGCTCACAAAATTGCCGTGGGAATTCCTTAGCGGCGGCCAAGAGCGGTGGAATGATTTAAGAAATAAATCAATTGTTATTATTTTTTTGTCCTTTTTGAATTTCACTGAAAAAAAAGAACGACTCAATTATTTATGAATACATTTTTAACGATTAAAAATGTATAGCGATTAAACTAGGTATTTGCACGTAAGTTTTTTTACTCATTTTATCGGTGATTGAGGTCTATTAAGATTTGTATATGAAAGTATTTTTGTTTTTTTTTTTTTTGTCCTGACCATTTATTTAAATAACTCTATTTAAGAAATTAAATAAGAATTTAATGTTTAAAGATCTTCTACCAAGGGAAATATGGACCCTTAATCAGCTATTACACATTGAACTGTTCTATTTATTGAACATTGTCTTAGCAGCATGAATAGAAACCTTTTGATACTTAGATCGCAACTACATACCTCTGAGAGATTCCATGGAAAAATGATATGAGATTTTCCACCCTAAGATCAGGAATGCATAGTTAAACTTAAAGAAGAAATATTTCGATCTCTGTTTGGTGTAACTCATTTCTAATTGGAATGTCTTCAGTCGAATCGAACAATTTTTTTTAATAATATTTTGTCGCCCCTCCTCCAATCCTGCAATATTATTTTTGTTATATATCTCAGAAGATTTTTGACAGGGTTAGCGGTGGGAGAGCTGGCAAAGGAGTGTTTTTTTTTAACATATTTTGATGGTGCAGATACCTTATAGCTTGGAGTTTTAAAAAATATTGTGCGGGAGACAGTAATTTTTGATAAGGCCAAAAATTATGTAACACCTCGAAATATTGGCTTCCCACATTGGAAACTATATATGGATCTTCCTAACTCGCCGAGCTGAGTCGATGTAGCTATTTATGTCCGTCCGTCCGTCTGTTAGTGTTAATTTGTAAACACGCTACAGGTCGAAATTATGGGCCGATCAACACGAAATTTTGCATGAAATTGGCATTATGGTCAGAAGAGAAGCCTATTGCTTTTGGAGATGATCGCAAAATATTTAAAAATTAAAATGGACCAAAAACTTGAAATTTCCTGATTTTCCAGATGGTCGCAATTATGGACCAATGGAGCTAGAGCTACATTTTGTAATATATTTTTCACCTTACAACACAGGTTGGGGTTATTACAGGGTGAGATGAAAAATCTGCAACCAACTTCAGACTGATATTTTTTTCCGATGAGAAAAAATTAGTTGTCCAGCAATTTATAAACAAACAAAATGATCGTGTTTACTTGCCAAAGAGGTCAGCTGAAAATGTGCACCTTCGGTTGGCCACCAGAACTCAAGTTCCGGCCATGGTTATGGTGTGGGCCGCCATAACAGCCGATGGTCGTTTTCCGCTCGTATTAATCGACCATGGCATCAGAATAAATGCCGAATATTATAGCGAAAACATGGAGGGTGTATTAAAGCCTTGGGTATGCAAACATTTTGGCTGCAGACCTTGGACATTCCAACAGGATTCAGCACCATCGCACTCAGCACCCGCCACGCAAGAATGGTTACAAAATGAGGTGCCTCGCTTCGCCGAGCCGGGAAGCTCTTCGGCGAGAATGGGCCAAAATACCGCAGAGCAGCATTCGGTCAGCGTGTGGCGGTTTCATTGGCCGTTTGAAGGCCATAATTCGTGCCAAAGGTGACCAATTCGAACAAATCTAAACTTATTCTAAAATTTGATGCTATTTCCGACATTATTTGCTTTGATTTAATAAAAAAAAATAAAATTATGGCGTTCTTCTTTGTTGCAGTTTTTTTTTTTATCCCACCCTGTAAGTACCTATCTATGATAGAAAATTCAAAATAATCCAAGCGTAGCCCCAAAATGCAACGTGCTCCGTTTTGTGGGGAACCAACAAGAAGAAGTCGACCGATATTGCCCATGTTCGAATTCATTTTAAGCTTGACAAAAAAAAATATTACAAAATATCGAATACACTTGTTGTGATATCAGATCAATATTTCGAGGTGTTTGCAAATTGATGAAAAAACAATATTCCCTCTCCCGTCCCTTTCTTGCGGTAAGTGATAATAAATTTGGTTCCATTCGGCATATTGCAACTTAGTTTTTGTCAAACCTTTGCTGTTTTTCAAAGCTCCATAAATATACAAATATATGGAAATACAACTAAATTTCATTTCTTGAAATTGCAGCCACGAAACTGTGACGCCACTCGAAGGATAATTACGGCAAAGGTCATGCAATGCGGCATGTCCACCTTAACCTAGTCCTTATTAAGTGCATACGTGTGTGTCTGTGTTTGTGCTTTTAGCAAACATTCAAGAGCTTCGAAGAATTTATTTCAACTGACTATTGAATTTTAAACAATTGCTGTATGGCGTTTCGTTCTTCTTTCTACACTGAAATTCCGCTCCCATAATTTGCAAGAAAACAATATCTAAGGGTGAATTTGGAATATGATAATTTTTACAAAGGACACAAATACACCTCAACCTGGTTGTATCAGTCTTAACATACATGTGATGTTCGTTGAAAAATATTGTTGAGCCATTGGCCGGTCTTGTGGCCACGGTAGTTGACAAGCCATTAAATATTGTTGCTGTTGGTTGTTGTTGCTGCTGTTGTCGATGTTGATTGTGTTTGTAGTGGATATCATCATCATTAGTATGAGAATAATAGGTTTGCCGATGCATATCATGAATATCATCGCCATCAACATGGTTTTGGTTACCCAGTCCGGTGGTTTGTATGGTTCCAATATCGATACTTATGCCACCACTACCACTAATGCCACCACCAAATTTGTGAGTTCGCGAACCACCAGTGTCCACAACAACAACAACATCATCGACACTATGCTGCAAATCATCATCGAACTGATGATGCATGCTCGTGCGGCTTGGGTCATCGTCATCGTATTTTTTTGGATGCTTGAGAATGATAACACCTGGCAATGCAGTGGTGCTGCTGGTGATTGGCACTGGAGTGGACGGCACTGAAGTAGACATCGAGGGATAAGTATGACTGGTACTTCTAAAAGGCGGTGATGATGTTACAGCCCCACCACCACCCGCAACTCCTATCTCAACTACCACATCATCGTCCTCTGAAGTATGCGGACTATGCGAAGCCAAGACCAGAGGATTATTTAAGCCCCACGATGGTGGATGCAAATAATGCGGATAACTTGAATAAATTTCCGCTCGTATGCGATCATCATAATCATCGTAATCTTCGGCATCTTCGCCATCTTCCTCGTCCTCAACCTCCTCCTCCTTCTGCCCAGCATCCGCATTTGCATTTGTCTCTGGGCCGCCTGCATTAGCATTGGCGGAATTACGATGGGCCGGATAGACATCATCACCTGTTTCCATATAATCATCGCCGCCGCCGCCACCGCGATTATCAAAATGATGCTGTTGCTGGTGATGATGGTGGTCTTTACTGCGGATATCATCGATGTCATTATTAAGATTTTCACTTTCAGCGCCAGCGCTAATGGCACCAAAACCATGGCCATGCTGTGGATAATGACGGCTGCTGCTGATGTTGCCGTGGCTAAATTGATGTTGTCCTTGTTGTTGTTGATGGCGTTGTTGTTTTGAGGACATTTGTTGCTGTTTTTTCTTGAGCTTCTCCTGTTTGAATTGTTGCTTCAATTTGGGTGTTAAGCCATTAGGAAAGAATATTAATCTGTCTGTAATTAAACGAGTGTTTTTTGTCGTGGAACCGGAAACAGGAAACACAACAACAATGTTGGCCAAGACAAAATGTTTTATAAGATATTGTTGTCGAGAAGAAGAATAAGTAGAAGAAGAAGACAAAATGGAATATACACATACATACATAAACATATACATTTAGCAGTAACATTAGTGTGTGCATGTTGGTGTGCAAGTGTACTCGTATTGGTGCATTAGGTGCAGACATTCTTAATTGTGAATTAAAAACATTTTGTTGTTGTTGCTTGTGTTGTAGTGTTGTCGTGTGAAAACTCTTGTTACTCCAATGGTTCAGAGCCAAAAGAGAGTGTTGCTGTTGTGTGGGGGTGGGGCGGCATTTGCCAAGTGAACAGTGAGTGAGTGATGCAATTATTTGAGTGCTCTCAATTAAGTGTTCCAGTGCATATCCGAAGACAAGTGCCGCTAATTAAGTGTTGAGTGAGTGAGCGAGTGCATTGTTAAGATTTTCTCTTCTCACCACAAAATTAAGTGCAACAAACGGAAGAAACCAAGATAAAGAAAGAAAAAAGATGTCACCGAAACTAAAGAATAAGAATAAACGTAAAATGTGCTTGGCAAGAAATTAATTAACAAAAGATGGGGTGGCAATGAAAAGAAAGATGATTTATACAAATACAAATATACATAGATATGTTATATATCATTAAATACAAAGAAAGTTTAAGTCCATTTTTTCAAGGAATTTCGGAGCTTTTTTTGGAATATTCGAAGAACCAAAAGAACTACAAATGTAGAGTTCTTTTGATTTTCCAAAGAAGTGGCAGATATTCAATGGTGGCTTTTATTATATTTTAAAGATTAGGGAGCAGCATTAATTCTAATGGCATTTTTAAGAGCATTTTTCGTAGACGTCAACTATTTAAGAATATTTTTCCCGGGAAAAATATTTTTCGTAGACCATTAGGGCTTTAGCCGTGAACTCTTTAAGAATATCTTCTGAAAAACGCTTCGGATTTTTAAGAAATCGTGGAGATCCTAATTATTATTTTATTCCCTCCACCATAGTATGGAGGTTTAATTAAGTTTGTCATTTCGTTTGTAACACCTCGAAATATATATTTAAGACTGCGCAAAGTATATATATGCTCGATCAGCATACAATTCTATGTCGATTTAGCGATTTCCGTCTCTCGAAATCACTCAAGCTTCCGAACGAAATAAAGTACGTTGATAAAATTTTACTCAAATGTATTATATGTCTGCAAGACTTTTGATATTGAAAATGGGCCATGTAGGTCCACTATTTGGTATAGCCCCCATATAATGGTACCTCCCGATAATTGGTATTTTGTTGATTTTACCGACATTATTCAACGGAATTCTTTTAAATTTGGTATTTAAAGCTTGAAATGAATACTACAGTCTATGACGGAAAATTGCCTGTGTAGGTCCACGTCTTCGTATAGCCCCCACACTCCCGATATTGGGTATTTTGATGATTTCAGCAACATAATTCACCTTAATGGTTACTACAACCTATGGAAAAAAAATTCGTATGCAGGTCCACATCATCGTATAGCCCCCATATACCCGATATTCGGTATTTTCATTTTTTTAGCGAAATTATTTACCGGAATTATTTCAAATTTCGCATTTGAAATTCGTAATGAGTGCTACAGCCTATGACAAAAATTTTTTTAGGCAGGTCCACGTCCCGATACTCGTAATTTGATGATTTTAGCGACATTATTCACATAAACTGTTTCAACTTTGGCATTTGAAGTTTGTAATAGATACTACAGCCTAAGACGGAAAATTGTGTGTGCAGGTCCACGTCTTCGTATAGCCCCCATATAACAGTTCCTCCCGAAATTCGGTATGTTGATGATTTTAGTGACATTGTTCACCGGAATTGTTTCAAATTTGGTGTTTGAAGTACGTAATGAATACTAATGCCTAAGACAGAAAATCGTCTGTGCAGGTCCGCGTCTTCGTATAGGCCCTCATATAACGGTACCTCCCAATAATCGACACTTTGATGATTTAAGCGACATTATTCACCGGAATTGTTTCAAATTTGGTATGTGAAGTTCGTAATGGATACTACATCCTATGGCAGAAAATTGTCTGTGCATGTCCACGTCTTCGCATAGCCCCCTTATAACGCTACCTCAAGATATTCGGTATTTTGATGGTTTTAGCGACATTATTCACCGGAATTGTAACAAATTTCGTATTTAGAGTTCGTAATGGTTACTACAGCCTATGACAAAAAATTCGTATGTAGGTTCACGTTATTCGGTTATTCGCTATTCGGTATTTTGATGCATTTAGCGACATTATTCACCGTAATTGTTTCAAATTTGGTATTTGAAGTTCGTAATGGGTACTACAGCCTATGACAAAAAATTTCGTATGCTGCTACACGTCTTCGTAAAGTCTCCATATAACAGTTTTCATCGAAGTGGTAGTTTTCGGAAGTTTTTTGAAAATTTTCAAGATCGTTCCAAATGGTGGAGGGACCGGCCGAACTTAGTTGCTTATTGACTTGCTTAAAAAATTTTTTTGGGGGACCATTATCGCAATTAATGTTGGATTTTAAAACATATTTTTTTGAAGGAAGAGCAATAGTCGTGGATTTTTAAAATCTATTATACGTTTAATAATCGTGGATTTTTTAAAAATATTTTTTGAATGACTATCGTGGAACGTAGATTTAAGAAAAAAAATTTTTGAATAACAATTGTAAAGAGAGGATTTCTTAAAATTATTTCTTTGAATGACTTTAGTGGCGCGTAGATTTTTTTAAAAATATTTTTTGAATGACTATCGTGGCGCGTAGATTTTTTAAAAATATTTTTGAATTACTGCCGTGGCGCGTAGATTTTTTTAAAAATATTTTTGAATGACTATCGTGGCGCGTGAATTTTTTAAAAATATTTTTGAATGACTATCGCGGCTCTTGGATTTTTTAAAAATATTCTTTGAATGACTATCGGGTCGCGTGGATTTCTTAAAAATATTTTATGAATGTTAGGGTTTTTAAAACGTTTTTTGGAGAACCCCCAAAACGTTTGTTCTGTTTTTCATGATTTTTCAGTACAACAACATCCAAGCCAGGAGTTTCAAAAAAAAAAAAATTTAATTATTAGTTTATTTTTTTTATAATATATTTTAAGGGGGATTCAGGATTCACATCTTTCAGAACGGCCGCCTTTTTTCAAAAACATTCGTAACATAAAATATTTAATAAAACAAAATTTTTATACAATTTATATAGATTATGCATTGAGCGAATTTTTGTGCAGGCGTGTGCAAGAACGATGATAAAACGAAAAATATAAAAACGGTGCATTAATTGCTCGATGGCAAGAACAACAAAAAAGAGAACACATATAATAAATTGCCATTTAGCCATTTAGATAAGTTTGCGGTAAAACTTATATAAGATAATACTTTCCTGCCTTTTTTGTTTTTCGTCTTTTCATTTTCCTCATTACCTTGAAAACCAGTCTTATGGAAACACAAAGATGTGGCAGAAGAAGGAGAAGAAATACAGTTGTTGAAAAAGTGTAGAATGTTCAAGTTTGAAGTGCAGAGCTCAATTAAAACTAATTACAAGCAAATACTGGTGCCGGACAAAGAACAAATAAAATATTTATATGGACATTAACATAGAAGGTTGTTTGTTTTTTGCTTTTTTCACTTTTTGGGCAAAACTGTTGGGCGCCATTTCCAAATATGCATCAGCAGCGGTTGGAGCAGCAGAAATATGTATGTATATATATTTGTCTATAATAGAAAGTTTTCTTTCCAAAAAAAACTTTTGTGGGTTACGGCAAATGACACAAAAACAAAAATGAACGAGCGAACAAATGGCAATTGAAAGCGGTGGTCAGGGTGCAGGTGTTAGTGAGTTGCTTGGTATTGATGGTGCTGGCCGACTATGCAAGACATCGAAAAGGTCCCATTGCGAAATGCAAAAACAAAAAAAAAATTGGTGCAAGTATTTTGTAAGCTTATTTTTTAATGCTTTGCTGCTTGTATTAGTTTTCTTGGTTTTCATTTTAGCATCTAATTTTTTTTTGTTCTCTTTTTCAGCTATTTTATACATTGAGAAGAATAGATAATTACAACTGAAGCAAATGCTTTTGTTAGGAATTTTCTTTTTTTATTTAATTTGATTACTTTGTTGTTTTCTTGATAACATTTCGTTCGTTTGTTTTTTTTTTTTTTCTATTTTCTTTTCATTGTGGAAATTGGTGAAATTACAGTGATACAGAGATAGATTGAGAGAGAGCGAGAGAGATAGAGCGATAGAAGGATCTTTAGGTATTTTAAAGGTATTTTTTGTTAAAGTTTTGGTGAAATTAAAATTAAAACGCACACACACTACAAGATATAAGGATACGTTTTTTATTGGTTTTTCTTGGTTTTGCATTACCCGTTCCATTTATGTTGTAAATTTTACAAGAGGATATTAGTTGTTTTGATACCCGACACCACAAATATAAGTTTTTTGTTTGTTTTGTTTTAATCGGACAAGATGGAAACGATACCCAAAAATGGATGAAACATTTTTGAGGACTATCAGAGCTATTGTCGCTTTAGTTTAGTTTAGATAGAATTTTCGAAAAAAAATTTCGCAGCACTGGCCGTTGATTTTTAACAACGATTTTGGAATATCTTTGAAGGTATCATCGTTGATTTTTAAAACTATTTTTTTTTTCAAACCCATCAACGCTATAGCCAGGTTTTTAATTTTTCTTTTTCAAGGACCTGTGAGGTCATAATTTAGTATGTTTAAGAATTAGTTTTTTAACTGATCACCAAAGACTTATATTACGAATTGTTAGGAAAGTTTTTTATTTATATTGAAGACACCAAAGCAATTGGTGGGAATTTTTTTGAGAGCCTTCAGAAACAATTCACCGGAATTGTTTGAAGTTTTATATTTGAAGTCCCTAAGGGATACTACAGCATAAGACAGAAAATTGACTGTGCAGGTCTTTGT